CACTTGAAGCAGGGTCAACCCTATCGTTGTTACTCTTCGGAAATTTTTTACGACCCCCCCTTCAGGGGTGGTTTGATACGACCCCCCCCCCTTTGTATGTAACACTTGTGTAGAGACAGTGTTTACCATCAATATTTATTTCTACGTAAGTCATTAAAGATGAAACTTTAGCAAAATCCACACAACATTCATCGCTGCTTGCAAACACGAAAAAATGAGATGCATTCAAAGATATCCGTGTACTCCAAAGGGTTACCAAACTAGGAGATGAAATAAGCTGAACCAGTGACCGTAATATTGACAACATTACCTGATAAAAACTTATAAGAAGTCAGAAAAAATTATCGCTCCAATTGAAATAGTGAAATCCTTCACGTTCTTCAATTGCAACACAATTTTTACACCCCTCTTTCTAAGGCTATAACTTCCTTCATATTCGAGCTTCAGCGCCGAAGTGATTTGATTTGGAAAATTCAAATTATTCTCTCTCCAACCATAGGTAAAAATTCTTCGAAAGTTAATTTAATAAAAATTTAGTACGTTGTTACTTTTTTCTGTGCAAAGCGACTTTTTGACCTTCAAATGATCATAACTTCTTTCAAAGTCACTCATTTGGGAAGCTGAACACGTATAATAAACTACAGGATTCAAGCTTTCTAAGGAGCACCCAAGCGTTCCTGAAAGATCAGTAGTTCAAAAATTAGTCCCGTTGTTACTTTTTTGGGGGTTTGCGTTACTATTTTTTTGGAACCGCGACTTTTTTGACCTTCAAACGATCATAACTTCCTTCAAAGTCATTCATTTGGGAAGCTGAACACGGTAATAAACCACAGGTTTCAAGCTTTCTAACGAGCACCCAAGCGTTTCTGAAAGATCAGCAGTTCAAAAATTAGCCCGTTGTTACTTTTTATTTTGTGGGGTATTCTTCAAGCCATTTTCTCGAAAACGCGAGTTTTCTTAGGTTTCACTGCCCGTAACTTCTTGGAAGACCAATTTTATGTTTAATTAAGGATGTGCTAGAAAGCTCCGAGCATGCGCTTGCACTACATCCCTTGCCTTGGTGCGCGCCACGCCTCGGGCGCCCTTCTAATTCGCTGATTCATTTGAAAGCTCATTTAGAGGGAATCGTGGTTTATAGATGCTGTATCAGTCATCTTACGAAAACGTAACGTGCTGGCTATTATCCGATATTACCAAGAATCCCACTGTCGGCCACCGAGAGGGTACGACCCCCCTCCCTCCAAGCTCAACTGAGTACGACCCCCCCGTTGTTACTCGTAACAACGTAGGGTTGACCCTGTTTGGACATCCT